AATACAGTAGTTCAGTTGGAGGGGACCTATAACGATGATGCAAAAGCAGATCTAAGTGTATCATTTCACTTCAGTCATAGAAGGTTTCATGTGTCAAGGACTCGCACAGTTACTGCTGACAGCACATCAACTCCTGAACGCAGTATTGATGATATGGGTTTTATAGGTAGTTTCCGTGGCTGTAGCTTCGCCAGGGACAGGATGCAAATTATTAAGTGCAGTCTTCCCTTCCTGCCAGAAGGACTGTGATTGGATACTGCCAAAACCAGGTAAAAAAATAAAACAAAAAAACCCAAAAAAAACCAAACCACACACACAAAAAAACCCAACAAAAAAACCACAGAAAACCCCAGTAACCAATCCTAGTGCTTTCTACTCCCATCTTATTAAAAAGTACACAAAGCAAATGATAATTAAGTTGCCTTTCACAACTGATGTCTCTAGATACAAAAAGAGGAGGAATGCTGCTTTTTATAAATATACAGGAAGACAGATTTACAGAGCCAACCAGAAGAAACTGTACTGAAACTGAAAAAATGTCAGTGGGCCAGGCCTACGCTTAGAATAATGAAAGCAAGACAATTAAGCATCTCTTGGATGGTCTGAGGTGTTGAAACTTCTCGGTGAAAAGTGAGAAAGACTCAAGTGCACTTTACATTTTTCAACAGTTTTATTCACTTGCATTTGATGTGAAAATAAGGAGCAAACTGCATGTGATTGAGGTCCTTATTTAGGACTAACAGAACCATGTTGGCTGTCAACCAACACCCCAAGGTCCTTTTCCGCAGGGCAGCTTTCCAGCCACTCTTCCCCAAGCCTGTAGGTTTGTGTGGGGTGGTTGTGACCGAAGTGCAGGACCCAGCATTTGGCCTTGCTGAACCTCATACAGTTGACCTTGGCCCATCGATCCACCCTGTCCAGATCCCTCTGCAGAGCCTTCCTACCCTCGAGTAGATCGACACTCCCACCCAGCTTGATGCCATCTGCACACTTACTGAGGGAGCACTCAATCCCCTCATCCAGATCATTGATAAAGATGTTAAACAAGACCGCACCCAAAACTGAGCCCTGGGGAACACCACTTGCGACTGGCCGCCAGCTGCATTTAACTCCATTCACTACCACCCTCTGCGCTCAGCCATTCAGCCAGTTCTTTATCCAGCGAAGAGTACACCCATCCAAACCATGGGCAGCTAGTTTCTCCAGGAGAATGTTATGGGAGACAGTGTCAAAGGCCTTACTAAAGTCCAGGTAGATGACATCCACAGCCTTACCTTCATCCACTAGGCAGGTTACCTTGTCATAGAAGGAGATGAGGTTGGTCAAGCAGGACCTGACTTTCATGAACCCTTGCTGGCTGTGCCTGATCCCCTGGTTGTCCTTCACGTGCTCGGGAGAGGCAGGGTATCAGGTGAGTCCTCTCTGCCACTTGCCATGCAGCTGGACATCAAAAGAATGCTTTAGAAAATGGGCATGTACGGCATAGCTCTTGCCTGTGTAGGATTATAAGTTGTCATGGAGCCAGCAGGGGCTGCCTTTTAACTTTATGCAAATAGTAAAGAGGCTGGATATAAAAACGAAAACATACTTTTGACAACCAGTTTTGAAAAAATGACTGATTTATGTGGGAAAATAAAATATAGAAGAAATGAAGTGTTGCATTCAGCGTCACCTGCCTTTTCTTCCATAGGTGCTAGACCCTCCTTTTTTTCATAAGTCCGAGCAAGAGCTCCCTGGTCAGCCAGGCTTGTTGTCTTCCCCGCCAGTTCGTCTTGCAGCACATGGGGACAGCCTGCTCCTGTGCCTTTAAGAATTCCTCCTTGTAGAAATTAACCTAATTTGTTTTCAGAATTAAAATACCAAAGTAAATGTTGTTTCCTTAGCATAGTTCCTGCACAAAAAATATTTATTTTTCTGAATATCTTTATTCAACCTATTTAATACTGCTCTACTGTTATTTTCTAACTTTCTATAGTCGTACTGATAACCTACAAAACTTTTGGCACAGTGAATGGGTTTGTTTACAGTAATTGCTAAATCCCAAACTAAAGATGGATATTTGTAAAGAGAATCACTTAATTTGCTACCTAACTTGAGCATACACATTTTAAAATATGCAATAAGGCTGTGTATAAACATCAACATGGTTTGGGGTTTTACTTTAGCAATAAACTGTTATTTAGCTGCAAAGACTTCCACAGTGATTCTGTGTTTAATAACAGTCTGCCAGATCTTGATTTATTTTGAGACTTCTCAATGAAAATCAAAAACAACAGGGTTTTTGTTCATGTACTTTCTGCGAAAGAATTAATTAAAAGGAAGAACTCTGGTCTAGAAGAGCACATCCGCTTTTATGTGCAAAGCACAAATGACCTGACTTCAGAGCGAAGTGATCTAAAGGGAATGGAACTGCCAGCTTTTTAAACAACCGCTGTCCGTAGGGTACGTGCTGTGTGTTTCCAGTGAAGAACGGCTGTCCCACCTAGCCTTCCTTCTTTCCTCCCCTCAAATAATATTTGTGGTGATGTGAAAGAAGCCCCAGAGAATCTTTTGACACACACATGGCACACCTGACCTGTCACATAGTTTTGGATGAGCTCGTGCCTGCTGCGATACGGGGCAGCAAATTCATCAAAAGGTAAATGTAAGAGACCTGGTTATGTCTAAAAAGTAGAAAATACAAACTCACATTGTAGGCACTTGTAAATAACTCAAACCTGTAGCTGGAAGGTCTTCTCTCATCATAACCCAAGGACTGTATGCTCTAATTCATATGATATCATTTGTATTTCTTATCTTGTATCTCACTGAAACTGCTGAAGATGGCTAAAAGCCAACACAAAACACCCTTTTCTAAGATAAGAAATAGCATAACACTCACATTACCAATAGTTATATCACCCTTTCAGAAAAATTAATGCAATTTAAATACTATAATCGCTGGTGACAGATTACACATATATCTCATAAGAGTTTTATCCTGTAACTCAACATACAGGGCAGTTACCCAATTTGTGATTTCCTGAAGCAGCCAATAGTGGTATTCCTCCAGCTGATACAATCAGACTAATGAGACCTCCAATCTATCTCATTCAACTAAGTAGGAAGTATGTTATCTTAAAGTAAGCTGCTGTTCAAGTTTCATGGTTGTTAGAATTGTGCATTAACTGTGGAAGCAAACATCTATCTTCCAAGTGAAGAATCCTTTTGCCTTTCCACATTCACATGAATTTTTATCAGCAGCACCTGAAAAAGCAGTGTGTGCAATATGGCCTGTCCTGTTTGAAGAACCGCATTACATATTGGGATTTAAAAAAGTCTTGTGACTAAAAAGAACCAAACTAAAAAAACTGGCAATCTATTTAGACTTACGAATTTTTTTTTAATATGTAAAACAAAAGAATTCCCGTAACTTTCCATAAATTGCTGAAGAGAACAAATCAATAAAACTTTTCTTTAGAAAAGTGGATTACCTGACTGAAGGTGTTTTAAGAAATTAAGGTGTTTTCAGCAAAGAAATAAATGATACTAGCTTTTAGCAAAGTTCAATTAATATGATAACCAAGAAGTATGTGATATTTTAAGGTATTTTGTGACTGATTAAGCCCCCCTGCTTTACTGACAAAAATTAAGAACAAAAAATTTTGCAAGTAAATTAGTCTTACTTTTGCTAAATAGAAACAGCAATATTTATGAACTTTATTTACAGGCTATTTTTTCTAATTTCCATTAATAGTTGATAGATTAAGAAGGATTTTTTAATTTTATTTGGTTTTGCACTTAAAATTTACAGCTCGTACTGCGTGTAAATATTCTTAATTTTATGTAAGCCTCTTCTCTATCCCTTACAGTAGTCACAAATCTACTTAATTTCAGAAAATCTTTATTTAAGAAGAATACAAGACACTGTCTTGGTAGGGGAGATGTTTTCTAAATTTAGGTAGACATGAATGAGGGTGAAAAATGGTTAAAAAATTTTTATAGCTGTATTTAGTATAATTGGAGAATTCTTTTATGGTAGCATTCCACACATTTAGGTATTTTATGAAGGGTTACTTACAAATTCTAGCTATTTTTCAGCTTACTGCTCTCTCTTAACATCTATGATTTGTTTTTTCCTCTCTGTTGCTAATTCCTGGGCTCTGTCGATCCTTACAAGAAAAGTGCAGAAGATGCTGGTCTACATTAACACAGCGGGTACTTAACATTTGTATCCTTTGATGCAGGAATAGCAGGTCTTGACTGAAAAAGTGCAATGTATGGAGACTCTCTGCTTTTGGGTAAACTGCGCAAATCTGACTTAGTACTAACCAGCTTTTGAAACTTTCTGTGTATAGAAACCAATATGCCAGATATCCTTCTCCTTTTTCCGAGTTTACTGTAAAAGCAATTATTGTAGTCTCAAAGATGTAAAACTAGAAAAGTTTCAAGTGTATTTCACACTATATGCTGTTGTACTGCAACTACACACTATGGTTTGTATTTATTTAGACATCTGTAAAGATAACCTATAATGTATTCTCTAATCAGGCTAATGTTTGAACATCCTCTGAGTTTCTAAACTTCCTACCCTATGGCCACATGAAAGTACTCGAGGATAACTGTACACTCAAGATATGTTTTTCATTCTTCCAAATCTAACTGTAATGGACTTCAAGTTGAAGCATTAGTACAGCCTCAAAAAAACAGGACCGAGAATAACTGGGCTACTCCACAGCGCAAAAATGAAATACAAATAAAGTATAATTTTAATTGTTTTTAAAACTAGTCATAATTCTCCAGGTAATGATGTAAATGCAATGATCTAGCAGACATGCAATGTACAAATACAATGGAAAAAGACATTTGCGAAAACTATAACAATAATAATTTTGGTTTTTTAAAACCTCTTTATAAAATAATCCACAAGTCTCATTAAAAGCCTGACACAGATTTACTGACTTTTCTCATTAAAAAACCAAAACATTTCACACAATATTTAGCTTAGAAATATTGCTTACCTTAACTTTTTCTTCCAATCTTCCTAAGCGTAGGCTGCCTTCTACTATTTTGTTGAGAACACCTTGATTCTCACTTTCCAAGCATCTGGCCTGTAAACATATCATATACCTAACTGAATGTAATCATTACTTTAGATGGGGCAGACAAAATACATACACTGAGGATGACAGACCTATTCTGTTTTGAGCTCCAATAATCTGAAGAACCAAGATGGAAAAAGAATTCTGAAAATTATTCTAATGATGGCTAATTTGTCATCTGACTGCAAATACTATCTCACTAACAAAATAGTATCTTGAAACAGTTTTGTTCTGAGGTGATCATAGCTGCTGATACTGTAAACCCAACCAATTCTGCATATTTTTCTACAGATGTATGTATGTGTATTTAGGGATCCCATTTATATGCATGAGACATCCTTCTGGGTCAGATTTAGCCGTCTGCTCTCAAAAGAGCCCTTGAAATTGGCAGGGGTTCAGGCAAGGAATCTGACATGTGGCTTATGAAATGCTTCTTTCTTATGACTGTTTCCATCATTTCATAAGCGCTACATCCTCTCTCAGATATAAAATGTAAACCAACCAAACACTGCATAAGCTGTAAACAATGAAATAATTTTAAAACTGAAAGAGGTTTCAACTGTTAAGTCCACTGAAAGTATTCAAGAGAAACAACCATGTTTTAGAATCAGCAATGTCTGACCACCTTGAACTACCCATATCACTCCAGAGGCACATCTCCTTTCACAGAAGTCAGAATTAACTAGCATCGCCAGAGTCTGAGCTTTGTGCACAGTCAGTGACATTTTGATTTACTGTGTGGCAGCTGAATCATACAATACAATAGAAGAATCATTTTGACAGCTGCTAACTCAGTATTACAGTTCATCATCAGTGTTGTACTACCAAGATTCTTTTAAATAAACTTGTTGCTGCTCTGTTTTACCGTATTTATCAGTAGGCTGCCACTGTTGCTGGAAACAGCAAATTTAAGACCATCCATTTATTTTTGTGGCGATGTGTTTACTACGAAATTTGTGGGTTTAATCCTCATTAAGTAAGAATATAGCCTAATTTCTTAGAGTGCTGTACCCTCTCTCCTCTCCCTGTTTGCCTGGATTAGATCTGCATGCAATGAATTTAAACACCTTAATTCAATTAGTGAATTAAAAACAGTAAGTAGCTAACAGTAAGTAGGTAACAGCAGCAGCTGAACTGAATAAATAAACCTGACATTACTGATTTTTGAGGTTTGGGGAATGAAAATACATTTTTAATTATATGCCACCATCAGTAGTGACTCTTCATAATCATTAGGGTCTGGCTCTAATGAATTTTTTTGTGTTTTCTAGGTCTTCCCATTAGACAACCATATCAGATTACCTAACTTCAAGATACACCTGCAGTCTAACTTCCTGTCAAGGTAGGTTTTAAGTTCAGCGATTAAAAGTAGGAACAGGTTGTTCTGATTCAGCTCTACCAGGCAGTAAACTTCACAATTAAAGGTTTTACTGATACTAGACTATTTCAGTAGAAAAGTTTGTATCGGAATATCTCTGCTGTCAGCCCAGACACAGTGAATTCATAAAGCAAGACTTGTGTGCTGTTTAGTACCTAACCCACAAAATGGAGAAATAACAGACAGCACGAAGTATGCATCATTATATGCATACACAAGAGAATGTGAACCAAAAGGAAGAGAGAAATTCTGTTCTGCATGACAGGACTGGCCTCTAATTGCTGGATCAGCTTATACCTATCTAAAGAAAGACACTTGACTGGATAGCTGACTGCGTTTTGGGCTGCTTTCCATGGACGTACTCTGAGCTTTTTGCACGTGCACAAAACTTGATTTTCTAGTGTGTACTTTCAGGTGTGGGTTTCGGGAGGGAAGAATATGATGTCAACTACTGCACACTTGCAAAAATAGAGTTTACGCTACCTTGTGGTGATTAAGGTTATGTTAAGACATCTTTCCTTCTGAAACAGGCTTTTACTGCTAGAAGTATTCTGAACCTCTACCAGGGTATTATTAAGCCAAATGGCACACCTTGTACTTACAGGTAATTCTGGATCTCTGTGATATTTCTAATGTGGGATGCTGAATATTTTAAAGGAGATATACCAGAGACAGAGAGAAGAACCAGCTACCCTAATTCCTAGGAGACATTTGTTGTGCCTAGTTTCACAATCCTGAAGTCCAGTTTGCAGTGGACAAGGATTTGAGCTGGGTCACCATAGTTCCTCTTCCAGAATCAGGAATTAACTGCTATAGAATCTTTTTACCCAACACTGATACCAATCTTTGTCTGCTACTTGGAACAACAAAAGCAAAAAAAGCTTTATTTTAACAAAGTTTCAGGAAGGGGTTTCCAGGACCAATTTGAAGACAGAGTACCAATATGTAAAATTGAAATTGTGTCCAAGATCTTGTAAAGGAAACAGAGTGTGACTTAAAAAGCCCAGTAACTTCCACATCAGACACTTCCACTAAACAAAAGTTGTTCCAAAACTCTCAACCAAAATGACTGCTCAACAAAAATGAGCAATAATGTGCATGTGCATCTACAGTAGAAGGTCCACTCAGATCACTTCAAGGATAATAGTCTACCTTTAGATTCAGAAATACATATGAACAATTTATGATTGCGTGCTATTTTTCAATACATATAGCTTCAACAATTGAACCCAGTCTCTAAAATGAGGTTAAAAAATTATTTTAAGCATGATATATACCATTACAGACCCTAATCCTGATGTGAGTTAAGGCTTAATTATCTCCAGAAATCAGTGTAGCTGCTTTTTAACCACTCTTCTAGAAAATAATCTTCTGCTGCTCTTATCCTATTTGCAAAAGTCTATTTAAATAGCAAAATCCTTAAACTGAAATTACAGCTTTCTTTTTTGATAATTCAAATGAACAACAAAGTTGTGCTGGTAGGATGGTAATTGTGTTAAATATTAATTACATCATATTAATTATTTAAAGATAATTACCAAACAAATGAGATGATCGCGTTCCTGAACTATCTTCTCCACCAAACCAATAAGGTTTGTGAGATAGTAATGGGCTGCATCTTCTTTTTCCATTGCTTCCTCCAACTGCTGATTCAAGAGACCTATTTGCTTCCTTAATTGCCTATAAAATTAACAGAAAAAGGAAATCCTTCAGATTGGGAATTAATAATGGCATCAAAAGAACTTGCATTGCATGTGCAAATCAACTTGTACAAGTCTCAAAAGATTAAATGTACTGTTAAAGATGCACTAGCTCAAAATATTTGCAATGCTGAAAGTATCATTTCACACTTTTGGGGGCTCTTTCTTTACAATATGTTGCATGAATAACAACAGTAACAATGACTCAAAAGACCAATTTGTGCAATAGCTAAAAGCTTGTATATCCTAAGAAATGTAACAGTAATATTGATTTTACTGTTTAAATAATTGTGAGCCCAACTCTGAACCACTTGGGTGCATGAGAGGTCTGCAAATAGTACAATACCCTATTTTTCAGGTGAGTACACAAATTATTAATTGCTATAGCTACTGGCATTAAAGATATAGTCTTAATTTGCATTTAGACATAGAAAACTGTGCATGAAAACATATAAAGCTTAGCAAAGTTACTTGATGACTAGGCCTTCAGATGTGACAAAGATGTGTTTAGGAAACATGTTTTTTCTGCAATAGGTAGAAATTACACACTGTCGGATGTCAGACAGTATTTTTACAGGTACTTCTGCTGTTATTTTGAGAAATACAAGTATTTCTACAGAAGAAAATAAGAACATGGTATGACTTGTTTGTCTTTTGTGTCATTTCCATCTCAGTTTCCAGGATCTTGTTGTCAGCCATGAAGTTATTTTGCTCTAAAAGCAGTTTCTTGTTTTGAGCTTGCAGTGATGCCATCTTTCCCATTAGATCTTCCAGCTCACAGCGCTTTTTCTCCTGCTCCTGTTGTAATTGGCTGCAAAAAAACAACAGCATAGAACAGGCATCACATATAACCCTACTTCACTAAAACGCTGTTACAGTAAGATACCCATGTTGAAGAAATGAATGAGACACATTGAGAATGCCTAATGTTTAGTGGAGACAAAGACAAGTATTACAATCTCATGATGTATCAAATCATGAATGAAGCATAATACAAACAAAATTATTCAAATAATTAATACTGACTGCACTTGAAATAGGATATTTTTATAATTTAAATTCTATGTAGTCTAAATGTATTCCTTTCCTATTTTTTTTTCAAATAAATTACTAGCAATGTCAAAACACAAGGTCTGAGAACTCAGGAAGGCACTGTACCAAGAAACAGTAACTTGCACTATCCTAAGGCTTGAAAGAAATGTACATAATATCTTTAGAAAAACATTACTTTACAGGCTATATTGCATGAGAGCACTTTTGTGTTGTGCTGCTTCATGTTATTTCCATATTGTAAAGACTGGAGGAACTTGGTATTTTTAGTTTAGAGTTTCAGGATCCTTCAGGCATTTTCCCAAATATGGGAACAAAAGGATGAGAACACTTTATATACAGTCTTGTAAATGCTTTGCAGAATTGTTTCTCTGAGCACCACATGTAAACTCATACCTTTTTACATCATTCACCAAAGCAAAGTGCTCCTCTGGTGCTATTCTGCTATCCAGTTTGGCTTTCAGCTCTTCACAAGTAGAACGCAAAGCTTCCAATTGCTTCTGGTACTCTGCTATCTCTTCTTCTTGACTCTGTTTCTTATCTTCTAGAATTATTATCTGTTTGGTCAATTTTGAAGCTTTTGGGAGAAAAAAAAAAAAAAGCCCAACTGGGTAGAGCGGAACTAATTCAATCACCTAGTAAAACTTCCAACTAAACCAGTAATATGATAATTCCTAGTTGTTCATAGCATTATATAACAGTGGATTTAGCAGTTTGTTTTGGATTTTAACACTTTGGATTTTTCTTTTTGCTCTCTCAAGCAGTTTGTTCTGTAAAAGTACCAAAGCTTCAACACTACTTCTTTTCAGGGCTATAAGCTATTTGCTCATTAAAATGTCATTTCACTCTGAAAAATCCTCCGATACAGATTTTACCAGTTCAGGAAAAGAACCTAAAATGGAATGTTGACTTTTGTAGCCTAGTAGATGGGGCACACATATAGAGGCTGCCTAGTTTCTCTTCACTGATCTCTGAATTTTTCTTGTACAATCACTGGATACACTGCCAAAACAGTTGCAGCAGCTGAATGGAAGATTAGGGCTCTTGTCTCCTTGTGAGAACTCCAGCAACAGATAACAAAATCGGTCAGTGTTTGCTAAGGATGTTCTGACAACTCATACCAGATCAAGCTATTTCGAGACCTGGAAAGAGGAACACCTGATTTTGGGGTATTGTCTGGCCTTTGGCCTTGGGTATGATGAGTTGTTATTTTCTACACACAGATGGATACAGGCAGATAGAACTCTAAACAAGAAACTCAGAAATTTTAAAACCAGAAAGTATTTATGGAATTAGGTGGCAGATTAATAAAAAATTTTCAGAATTGGAGTTTTGCTATATAGGTTCACTTAAGGAGACTGTTCTCATCAGCAACTTATGTTAATAGTGCATAATTAAATGTTCTTCAGAACATCCTCATCTGTGAATTAAGATTCAGTTTTCCTTTTTAAACTTCACTACGCAATCTCACTTTCAGTTTTGGGATTTTAAACCATAACATGCTTGTTCTCTTTCTAATATCCAGTCAGAAGGCTATTAACAATATCCAGAGGAATATGCCAATGCAAAAAAAATAACTATAAGCAGAAAAACTGATCTTGGTCAAGCAATAATATTTACAGGCAAGACAAGGAACATCAAGTGTTCTGAATTCAAGCAAATACAAACCTCCGATAAAACAGTAAGAGATAACAGATTATTACTTGAAGATGCATGTAAATTCAAGCAGTATCAAATTATAACACTTTAAAATGAAATACTGCTACTTATGCTATAATTAACTATATTAAGTGATAAACGTGGGTTACAAAGCAGAAAAATAAACAACCCTACGATTCTAAATTGAACATTTAAATAAGGAAGTAATACCTCACAAATACCAACTGTGAAGTTTAAAGTGCTCTTAAATTATGAAAAATAGTGTATTGCTGTTTAACAGTTCTTGGCACTTGTTCAGAGGAAGCAAGTCAAAATGGAGTATGCTGCATAGTGTCAATAGGTGATACTGACATTTCTTTTCAGTATCAGTTGACAAGATCTCATATTAGTGTTACCCGCACTCAGCGATGCTTCGTAGGCATATATGAAGTTGCAAAAAAACCACTCCCAACACCAACCCCTCCCCAAACCACCAAAACAAAAAACCCCACCCACAAACAGAAAACCAAACCTGCAGTACTCTGGTGTAGTTGAAACGATTTGCAACTCAAGCGCTTTACCTTCTTGAACATGTTGTCTGTGACTATCTTTTGCTTTAGCTTGTTGAATTTCAAGTTGCTCCATCAACAATCCATTTTCTTCCAAGACCAGCTTGGCCTGAGTTTTCAGCTGCTGCCTGCAATAACAACCAGCTTATAAATAAAATATAATTCAAGTATTAACTTATGTCCAAAGAAAGAATACTGCTGACTTCCAACAGTGTAAACTTATAAAATCATGTTTGAACCTCTTTAAAAAAAAACAAACTAAAACCCTCATTGAAAGCAATGTCAGGACCCAAGGTAAGCTTATCAGAGACATGAACTCACAACCTTCAAAATGTAAATTACTTAAAATAATGTTTAAAAATCTTTGACCAACTAAAGCAAAAATTCCCTATAGAATGAAGGAAAAATACCTATGTATGAATCAGAGTGTAGCAACACAGAATGGTTGAGGTTGAAAGGCACCTCTGAAGGCCACCCGGTCCAACCACCCTGGTAAAGCAGGGGCATCTACAGCCAGCTGCCCAGGACCATGTCCAGATGTTTTTTTTAAGATCTCTAGGGATGGAGACTCCACAACCACTCTGGACAGCTTGTTGCAGTGCTCACAGTGAAAAACTGTTTCCTTATGTTCAGAGGGAACCTCCTGTGTCTCAGTTTGTGCTCTTTACCTCTTGTCCTGTCACAGAGCACCAATGAAAAGAGCCTGGCTCTGTCTTTACAGCCTCCCTTCAGGCATTTATATACAGTGATAAGATTACCCCTTGAGCCTTCTCTTCTCTAGGCAAAAAAGTCCCAGGTCTCTCAGACTTCTCTCATATGAGAGAACTGAAGTTACATAATAGTGCCAGATGACTTGCAGACAGCTACGTAACTAGTAACTGAAACAAATTTGTTTTCAAAAACATGATAAATTCTTAGACAGGATTTGGATCTTCTTGGCTTTGATCTCTGAAAAAATACAGCCAGTGTGTTGTATGGGCCTGTAAAGATGATGTACATTTAAACTGAACCATCCCCAGCAGAGAACTTAACTCTCTGCTTTATAACTAGTACTAATTGAGCTTTCAAGAAAACCAGTACACCAGTCTTTATGTTAATGAAAGCTTAAGAAACTATTTGTTCTTACTAATAATAGGTTTAAAACTTTAGAAGTATCAGCCAGAATGCACAAAGAAATACAGTACAAGTGTGAGATGATATCACAAGTTGTCATCAATCAATCAGCAAGAGTAGCCTAAACCCAAGTAAAGTGTAGCAAAATAGACTGTTACCAAGGATTTCTGATGACAGTAACTAACACAATGTGTATCTACTTTGTTCACATGTGGCTTGACCTAAGTAAAAATGCATCCTATTGTGTGTAGATCTAGATAGGGACAATTTCCCCTACCATCAAATTATATTCAGACTAAAATTTAAGCTGAACCATACAGCTAACAATTGTTGTCCGGCAGCTGAAAAATAGGGTCTTAAACAGTCTACCCTGAAGATTTTTGCAAACACAGAAATGGAAGTCACCTTACAGTTGTATCCATGAAAACCTCTGCACATAGGCACTTGTAAGTTCAGCTGACTTATTTACAGTGAAATTTACTGCAGTGGGCATAGGAGAAGGAAGCAAGTGCGCATCAGCCACTTAGAAATTGGTTAATAGCCAAGATTGAGTTCATATTCTTTAACCACTTAAGGCACTGCATGTTTTCATCTGAATGGATAAATATGAAATAAAAACTGAATTACAAAATACATTTGTCATTTGTGAAAGGAAGGTCAGTGCTGATGCAAGATGCTAAGCATTACCAGCTGAAAGAAACAATGGAAGTTTTTTCCCCATCAAAACTATCTAGGCTGGAGTTAAGGTTGAGAAAGTGGATTGTGAATCTTACTGGACAAGTCTTTAAAATATAACAATTGTAAACAAACTGATTTTGCAGGTAAAACTGCAACTTTCAAACTGATATCACTAAGATGGTATTTCATCAACAGGTTTAGGCATAAGGAATGTCTCCCACATTGCCAAGCTACATCCTCACCGTCAGCTATGCCTGGCACCATGACGCTACTTTGTGACACAAAATTTTTTAAATTGCTACAAAAAGATTAGGTTGATCAAGACCAACTCCTTTCTGTGCTTAGGAGTGCATCCCCATGAGCAGTTAAGTAAATACAAGAGCAATGCACTGCAACACTGAGCATGAAGACGCCACTGAATATATAGAGCGAATGCTTGGTAAGGTGGCATTGCTGCTGACATCCCGGCCTTGCTGAACCCTACCCTCAAAAACAGCTCCCAGACAGAGACTATAGACAGCCTGAAACAGCTCAGAGAGATAAGAACTTCTCTCATTCATCTGCAGAGAGGCAAAATTAAAAGCAAAGGTGTTACAAGTTCAAAAATTTGTATTTAAGAATCTGAAACACCTGTATGAAGAGCGTTTTGAAATTTGTGGACAGTATATAAGCATCCAAAGACATATAAAATATCCAGAGTATTTTATTAAAGCACCTATAAGACAGTTTGATGCCTTTATAAACAACTTAACCAAATCTATACAGAAACTACACACTTCTGTAATTCTGCCTTGAGGAGCCTCTCATTGAAAGTCTGCTGATATTATTGGTTAAATTTACAGAGAGACAACATTAGAAGAGACAGCTTGAGTCAAAGTCCTCCTACTGTAGACACTGTGCCATTGATCCCTTCTATACAATTACCACCTGTGTCACGAGTGCAGTGAGAATTACATTCACTGCTCACAGCGGATGCTGTTCCAAAATCTGTCAGGCTGCTTAGGAATCATCTTCCAATTTCCACTTTGTTTATGGTGATTGCATACCCAGTTGTTGTTCTAGTAACACTGCCCTCAGTCCTATAAATGCAGCTTAAGTAGTTCTTTGTATAGTCCATGACTTCTGTTCCTGATGTGCTTACAAAAAGCAACATTGTCCTTTCTCAGCATTTGTTTCACTAAAGGAGAAAGGCCAATCTGTCGAAACCTCAAATAACAGAGGCCCTCCATTTCCTTGGCTACACCACAAACCCTTTCAGCTTTGTTTCTCTATACTTAAATATGGATGACTGGAAGTCTCCAGAGTTTTCCATGTAATTGTGTTGTTATTGCCCAACTGCTACTAGAAGGACCTATTCTAACACACCCCAGTACTATACTGCCTTTCTTTTTCTTTACAGCTGTTGCCCTAAAAAGCTGACAATCATCTTGCAATGAACCAGTACCACCAGTCTCTTCTCCATCTCAGTTACTAACTGATGAATGCTTAAGTGAACTGTTATTAAGTCTCATATGTATTTTATACTACTCAATTTCCTTACGTTTGCATTGTTTCACTTCTCAAGAACATCCAATTCTTCTAATGTCATATTCCAATACTATTTTTTATTAATGAAAAACTAATGTCATTGGCACATTCCTACTATTAGTAGAAGTGTAAAAGTTAAGTATGTAACCTGCAAGGTCAGGGACAGAATTACATGCGCTTCAGGTGCAAAACTGCACATTCACTATTTGATCTTTACTCCAAAATTCTTTCAGGCATTGCAGATCAGCATTGGTCCAACAAGACATAATCATGACCATACTAACTCTTGAGCAAAACTTAATTTCCTTGAGGGGAATAAAATTTTTTCCTTAAGATCTCTGATCTTAAAAGTTTGTATGCAACAAGCAAAACAATAAGTAGCTTTTAAATTAATCTCTAGTAATATAACTTGCCATTCTGTAGTGGTAATAAAGTTATTTTTATTTAATTGCTCATGCAGGTCTTCATTCTCCTTCACCAACTCTTCAACTCGTACTCTAAAATTCTTCATATCCTCCTGGAAGACAAAGGACTCCACATAAAATTCTTCAGAGCTATGTCTTTTGTTTTAGTTTTTACATCAACAAAAACTTTATAAATATACAGAAGGCCTGGGTGCCTTCTAATTCTTCTGTTAACAGCATATTATCTCAATACCTACTCATCTTTAATTCAGATGTGCATACTTCTAAATTGCTTCATCAATCTTGTAATATTTGATTAAAAATTATATATTCAAATTGTGCCACATTTTTGCCACGTGTCATTTGAATTAAGCAAGTCATAGATTCTTAAAATATAGATTTAAAAAACTGAATTCTGGGAATTACTAGGTGAAACTATACATTTTCAGTATGAATGACATGAATTTGAATATGGTAGGACAATACAGTGAATTTACAGGAATATAAAACTCTCAGTGTTTTCTGCTCATTTTATGGCTTGATTTTTTGAAGGAAATAAATTATTTTGAAAAGTTACGGCAGTTCTGCTGTGAAGAAAATCACCATTTTTCAAAGATTTGTTTGCAAAAAAAATATTTCTGAAGAGCAAAAAAGAGTACCCATTCCTTTATAAACTAGAAATAAATGTTTTTCTACCAAAAATCCACAGGCGTGTGAAAAGCAGCTATACAGGGCACTGCATCACCATTATGAATGACAATAGTAAATTCTTTCTACCACTGACTGTGTTTATGGTTTATTCAGAGCACACAGTTCTTGTACATCTCAGTGTAGTGCCTGCTTCTATGTCTGAACAGGCTGACAAAAACAAGCAAGACAAGTAGGATAAGATAGCACAATAGCTATGCATGGAAAAGTGAAACAAAGTCACTTTGAATTTTAGGCAGAAAACACCTCTGACAAATCCCTTTAAAAAATTTCAGTAACTTATTTCTGCTTCAGTGTAGAAGTATGTTTTCTTTAAATGGCAACTTGCCTCATGTTCAAGATTTAAATCTTCCTTTTCTCTTATTCTGTCTTCATATGCCAACAGAAGAGGTGACAAATACTTCATATCCAACTAAAAAATAAAAAAAATCAATCCATATAAATCAATTACAAACCATAATCTCATCAATATTTTTATTACTTCTCCTGCTATATATTGCTAGTTTTAAAAGCTATTAAGGATTTTCGTATATGCCTTGCAGACAAAAGTGCAGGACTTACACAAGCACGCAGACCACCACATGCAAAATGATGTTGCAGAAGCACTTAACAGCATGACTTTAGGAGCAAGCTTTGGAAAGGACAAGGCTGGAAGCTGTACTTGCATGCTTTACTAAAAAGCAGCTATTAGTTATCAGTATATGTAGCACAGCAGAATGTGGATGCAAATGAATACAAAATCAAACTGAAAGACTACAGTGAATACAGTTATAATAATCAAATTTAACCCATATTCATTAGTAAGTGGAAAAGGAATTTTTACACTCTCAAACTAAACACATACATATGTGATTCTTGGATATTATAACTAGACAGTGCAGAAGGAGGACTTTCCTATTTCTGTATAGTTCTGAGTAACAATGAGGAAGGAAAATTTAAGATCTGATTAGCATTTCAAGGAGAAATTGTTTCACATATTACAAATGCATTCAATCTCACAGACTATTTGCCTTCTTGCCAGAAGTTCATAGACTACTAGTGGACCCATGACCATCCCTATCATCAGAATCACTGAAATACGCTATTTTCTTTTAGTATCATCTTAAAAATAATCACAACAGAACATTAACAATTAGGAAGATTAACAATTAAGCAACAGACCTTGAGGCAAACTACATGCCAGACAATACTACGTGACGATGGTATTTATGATTCTTAGGGTAACAGTACTTCTACTTAATTTGCATTCAGTAGTTCAAAGTTGGTGATTGTACACCGTCTATAACTTACTGTGGAGCTGCACACATTCATTGCAAAGTACTGCCCTACATCTTTTTATGCAACAAACATAAATGTTTATAATATTCTACTAGTATGTAATAGCTCAGTAGAGTAACTAAATAATATCCTGAATATTTTGGTTCCAGTAAAGAAATTCTACTTTACTTAGAAAGGAATGAACAGATAAGTGAAAACATTTTTTTAACTTACCAGCCATGGCGGTGGTGGTCCTTTCACGGGTAAACTTTTCACTTTTAGATGCTACAGTAGATTTTTAAAAAGATACTGAAATTATTTCCTGCTTTTTGAAGCACCAGCCACTGCCCACTGCAGCCACAACTATTACCCCAAACAAGCTTATATTTCTAATTACATGTGTTGCATATGTAGCACACAAAGTCAACAAAACTGGAAGTTCAGTATCTTACTAATGTAGGAGAAAGTCTAACTTCTTAAAATTAGACTTAACGATAAATGCTTATCTTAAATTTCAGAGAAAGCCTATGCATTTGTAGGCTTTGGGGCAAATTTGGAGAAAATAGTCTTAAAAACTCGCAGATGAATGAAAGGACAATGGGACATTTCAGTACAAAACTGCCTTTATAACCAAGATTCTCACCTCTTCTTGAGACAATGGCCTGAATTTAGTTTGATAGCGACTTAATTCTACATTTAAACGATGGACCATCATTTTCAAAGCATCATTTTCATCTACCAGTTCTTGTGCTTGTTGTCTGAGAATAAGTAATTCTGTAGCCTCCTCTATTAAAACAAATATCCAACAACAAAGTTCAATCAAAATTCAAGAAATGTTCACCATCATTTGTTAATTGTAAGGAAAACAAAAACCTCAATAAGCTAGAATAAGAGAACTCTCAAAACACTGTAAAGGAGTAATCCCATGACGAAAATTACTAACAAAACCCCATTAAATTTCAAACAACCAATTAATTTTTTATCATGATCACGTAAGTATTCCTTGACAAAATTTCTACAAATGTAGAAAATACTGTTCGAAAACTACTTCTGCATAGATACTTGCTCAAATCAATGAGTGGACACCTACTACTGCAGGAATAGATTGTAAGAAATTAGAAAAATCAAACAAGGTAACTACAGAATAGCTTATATGTTTCTCCCACCTTCTCTATGGGACTTTTCTGCAGCTTCTTTAAGTGTGCTGTTTTCTTGTTCTAGTCTGGACTTTTCTGCAGCTTCTTTAAGTGTTCTGTTTTCTTGTTCTAGTCTGGACTTTTCTGCAGCTTCTTTAAGTGTTCTGTTTTCTTGTTCTAGTCTGGACTTTTCTGCAGCTTCTTTAAGTGTTCTGTTTTCTTGTTCTAGTCTTTTCAGCTTTAATTGCTGTTCTTCCATTTGCTGTTTTGTTCCCTCAAATTGTTGGACCATATCCTGGTACGCCTTGTTCAGAGACCAGTTTTCTTGTTTTAGTGCTCTGAATTTTTCTTTAGTCATATTTTGCCATGCTTGCCTTGACCGAATAGACACATCTGTAATGCCACAGTACAATGCATTTAAATGGTATTCAGACTTCAATACAAGTTTCAGCAAATTATAATCCATTTCTTTCTAATATTAGCATTATGTACGAGTGATACTTTATAAGATATAAATCAGCTCATGGCTCACAGAAGATAAAGCCAGAGAGAATTAAAAAAGCGGATTTGGAAAGAGAGCTATATAGTGGAGCGGCTGCAAGTTCCCACCTTTTCTCTCAGACATTGAAAACATTCCTTCTTTAAAGGGCAAAGAAAGTGTCAGCAGATCTCCCTTTCCCTAGCATGGGTGACTAGAGAGGCGAGACAGAAATATCCACTGCAGTAAGCAAAGCGTATGCGCCCTGCATGGACTACTCAGTCCTCTTGCCCGCTTCTTATCTTAATCACCTGTGTAATGAAAGCTTTACCCTCCTTCCCACTGCACAGGCTTCAATAATGTTACTGAATAGAAGTTACTTAATTAATAGTCCATACAAAAGTAAAATTTTAGATCATCTGCAAAACGTGGATATATTGTTGCATCAGCAATAACAGATCACACTTTCAAATTCACATACATCTTAGTACACAACAGTTCCTTAGTATGGGATATATATGAAACCCAAGAACTGGTTTTGAAACACAGAGCTATCTGTGTTATTGATGACATATGATAGCTTCATGTGTTTATGGTCACTGTTAACTTTCCGTGAGAAGGCATAAGATACTTTGACAGCACAAAAGTACATAAAATACACAAAACCCCGTGAACTCACAATAGGCCATATCCCGTTCATGTGATACACAAAGTTCAGAGGTGCTGTGCCTGGAATCGTTACACGGATCCAGTAACATACAAATAAGGCACTAGCTGAAGGTAGACCATGTACCTCCTATCACGGTATGTTTATCACGTCAGTTGCAATGGGATACTTTATAATGGTGACACCCTCTAGTGTAGTCGAAACTTAAGGGATTGGAGAGTTCCAGTGTGACTTTAATTTCATTACATCATTTCACAATCATTTACTTAAGACTTCTAAAGTCACTCAGATTAGAAAATAATAAGTCTAAAACACCTAACACACAAAGCCTGGAACTATTGTTTTTACACATATTCACAGAACACTCAGCACTTTGTCATCTCCTGTACAGAAGAAATAACTTTCCCCCCCTCCATGAATTAGGCTTACAGAATACAAAAAGGAAAATGTATTTTTATATAGATATGCATATTTTTAAAGTAAGTATTTGTAGTAAAGTCATAGAAAAATCACAAGTACCTGGGGATGGTGGAGGCTTTACACGTATCTGATTTTCAGCTAAAGATTTTTCTTCCTAGCAGAGAAATAAGAAATGAAATAATACGCTTTAGCAGTTATCCTTTCTGAAGTACTCTGAACAGCATCACTGTTGGAGAACTTAAGAAACAGAACTTTTGAAGCAGTTTCTTTTATATCAACAAAATTTAAGGTTGGATTCACTACTAACAATATATGACTTGTCATTTACCCATCTTGACATCATTTTGTCACTTATCACTGCCATCAGTCACGTGTGGACACTTGAAACTCAGTTGTCAAGAGATGTATAGTTCTCAAAACAATTTTATGGCTGACATAGAAGTTACATAAACATAAAGCTTCTTGACCAGACAGGATGGATGTTGCTCCCACTTGTTTGTTTGTATAAAATATGACTTTAGAATAGTGAACTGTGATATGAAATATCAGTACCTAACTGGGAATCAGCAAATAAATTGAAATGTAAAATGTTCTTCAACTTTGTTGTTTGTTTTTGTTCTCCCTTTGATGGTTAAAAAAGTACCTATTTTTACATTTTCAGAAGGTTCTTTCATCAGGAAAGAACTACAAGATGAATTTATACTAATGTATTTACTTCAGGTGAACATGATTGATATACAAACTTTCTCAACGTTTTTATGAAACAGCAGTGAAGTTCTGTGAGGATATGATACCATGTAATTTAACATACCAAGACACCAATGACTAAATGAGTCAAAACTCAAGAACAATTTCAAAAGAAAATATATGTGGTCAAGAACTTGAAGAGAAGAAGTGATGTTAACAATGGAAAAACTGACTATTTTTGTAAATAATATTCCAGCAAGTTGATCCAAGAAACTAAACTTCTGGGTATTCTTTTTCAAGCTTATGAAAGCATTCAGATGGGCACAGCTGGAAAACTAGATAAAAATCTGGTGAAGCCAGACTCCGAATTTTATAATTACCACTAGGCTATCTCTTGCTGTAACATGATGTCTCCCGCCCTCAGTTTCCTTCTTTTGCATGAGGAACAACAGAAGATATATTAAAAAAACAAAAGACCACACACACAACAAAAAACCCCAAAACTACAATGAACACACACTTCCCCCCCCGTATGGCCTATTTACATATATAGTGGTATTTCTCAAAAGGAATGATTAGCCATTCTTGTACTCCAAAAGAAAGATTCCCTAGTGGCAATAAATTCGTTTTAAGTGACTGTAAACTATCAGTTGTTTTTAACATCCTTTTTTCAAAAATGCATCACAAATTAACCTTCATATCAGTCTTACCTTTAAATTCAAGCCAAGATTTTGGTCTTCTGTTAAAGAAAAACAGATCGTTCAGTCAATTAAAAACAAAAAACATTTGTAAGCCCATAAACTTACATTTGTACGTCCAGGTTCATATGGATATGTAAGTACACGTATTGTATACTGCAAATAAATGGAAGAAAGTCCTCCCAAAACCACAGATTAGATCACTAACTTTCCATTATCTCTTCATGGTGTATTGGGATACTGATGTGAGACCTTACTTTACGTCACACCACATAGATGCAACTATGGAAGAAATTAAGTTGTATTGTTGTCTTCCACTATTCTTTTAGAATTTGACTAAAGGACAAATTAAATATTTTAATTTATTTTACTGGGCTTGAATCCTGTTGCATCTCTGAACAAGGCAACTGCAAATCTGACAGCTTCCAAGATCCGCAGCACTTACTATGTACAAGAGGAATTAGAAACAGTTTATGTATCATATTCTTTTCAGTTTAATGCATCCACTTCCCCAACAGTTTTATCAAAGCAACCTGTTCTTTCTGGATATTGTTCTCTACAAAGCTTTTCAAATAACTCCACTGAAATAATATTGAAACAACACTGAGATCCAATATGAATAAAACAGAAAGACAAAGATTTTTCAAATTGGACTCAGTTCTGCTTTCTCTTTCCTATCCAAATGCTACTAGAGTGCTGCCATCCTCTGTAAAAACTGCATTTCACAGCTCTGGAACAAATTCTGATTTCCTGTTTTTCCTGATTTTAAAATAATGGACAAGATAATTATACAATAAAAATCCTATGCAGGTAGATTGAGCTTGCTCTCTTGCCGTATTTTTTTCTGTATATTCTGTAACTAGTAGAAATAGGCAAATATTTAGTAGCATTTCTTCCATTGCCCTTTAAAAAAAAAAGAATGTATTTTTTTCATATAGTATTAAATTTATTTTATTAAAAAATTATTTTCCCCTATGCTATCAAAAGGTACGGCATTTTGACTAAATTAAGTTTATTTACCTTCTATTTGCACATTTGACTCATCCACCAGCACCTGAAACTCAGTTTCATGAGAAGGCGCCTCTTTCTTGTCAGCATTAGTACTAGGAGATGGTGGAAACTCTTCCTGTGTAAAAATAAGACAAGCCTATCTAAATCATGGTAACACTGCTAAAATAGCCCACATCTTGCTGTCTGTATGAAACCTTTAGTGTACTAATGTCCCAGTCACATTCGGAATTTACTCCAATATTTTAAGATAATAAACGATAAGACATATTTTTTTCTGTTTTAGGGCTCCATGTAAATAAAATCTAAACCTTACAATGATCAACAGGAGGTAGGAAACTATGACAGTCATTTAGTTCGCAGGGCTAATATTGCCTGTCACCTCATTCAGTCACAAAAGTCTGTCAAATTACCCTATATTTGCTTGTTCTGTGTTGTATCTAAACTCACTCTTAATAAAAGATCAATCATTTATCTACTATATCACAGCACTAAGGGATTAATGAAAAATTTTTAACATTCTCTCTGCTGTTTTTCCCCTTGTTGACTGCATACCAGTGTCTCACGTATTCCACTTACTCCCTTTTTTTTTCCCCTCCTCTCCCCTAACTGATGACTATCTCTTCACCTAGGGGCGTTTTCTGATTTTTTTCACATACATAGCATTTCATTGCCTCTTTACTACTCAGTTGCTTCTTCCTGTTTATAAAATGTTTGTATCATTTTGGACAAGGATACAAAGTGAACTTTAAATGTACTTTAAGAGTATTACCCTGCTGATCGCTAGTTAAGACAATCCAAACCCATAACACAGAAAAATCCACCGGTCTTCAAGACAATAAGGTAATTTATTTTGTTTGATTCTGAATCTCGTTGTCTCTGTATAGGTCTTTGCTCATTAGCACAATACTGAATCAATACCTAAGCTTTCACCATTTGTAAAACTAAAGTTCCTAGTGCTTTTAACAAATAATCTGCTACATAAGTATCATGTTCAACATAAAATATTGGACATTTTACAAGACTAAATTATGCACAATAATTATACAGAATACCAGTGTTTTCCTAATAAGGAAAGGCTCCTAGTAATCAGAGATGCGGAATCTGTGAGGATCAACAAACAAACCTGACTCGTGTAGGAGTAAATGAACCACGAAAAGAAGCATATGGAATAATAAAAACCAAATAAATGTCTAAAAAGTAAGAAGAGACTGAAAATCCCTAGAAATATTTAATATTTGCATGAATATATTAAAACACGGTAAAGGAATTAATGCATTTTCAAATCCTACCTTTTTATTTTTGCAGGGAACAGCATAAATAGCATTGGTGCTTAAGCTTTCTCCCCTTTTCTCATCACTCTGACAGCTGGACTCTGCCTCTTTACCAGCATCTGAAGGATAGGTATCTACGTCCTCATCCTCACAATAACTGCCTGATATTTCCAGGGACTGTACAGCAGATCTGTCACTACCATCAAGTTTCCAGTTGGGTCTGCAAGTAGAAAGCAGTTTAAAGGCTGTTTCAGTGTTGCTTACTCTTCTGAAAAAATTAACACTAGTAAAGTAGAGCCATCAGTCTTAGACTATACACAACAACTCCAAACAGCTGGCACAGACATCTAAGCTTCTGTTAGCTGCAAACAAGGAATCCAGCCTATGTGTATGCTTTAAAATAGACAATTAACACTGGAGCTACACTTTCTTCTCTATCTTAAAGAAAATGCCAGATTAGAGATAGAAGGTTGCTAATTCTACCAAAAGAAGAGTCTGAAATAATTATTCAGCACAAAGGAAATATCTGACATGTAATTCAGATGATTCCTCAGTGATAAACTGTTTGTGTAATTGATCATCATTTGGCAGAAATAATACATGTTTTAACTTGTGACTGCTGTGCAATCCAAATCTCCCTCTCTGAAGATTGTACGTGTGACATCACTTTATGAGAAGCAGAATGAGCACTGTAGATACTTCAGACCCAATTTATGATGTGGTGAGAAAAAAGTAAGTGACTAACACCAGGAGGTGAATTAGTTTGCTATAACTCTTTTGTAAAATCGTATAATTACAGATTCTATCTCTAATACAAGATATCAAACCAGAAAGTATACACTACCCCATTCTGAGCTCTGTGACTGTTGCATACGGTTCAAAGCATTCTTGTTCCACATAGGTGGAATCACTTTCAGAAAGTGATCGCTGCCGAGGCTGAGGAATAGCAACAGTGCGCCCTGTTAGGGTTGCTGCAAGTATACCTGCTGCTAGAGCAGATCTGGAAGAAAACAGAATAAAGCAACGAAACAATACTGATTTCTTCTCTGTGCTCCACATTTTTCCCCATTGCAAAATGCCTTCACTATTTAAGCAAAGCAAAATGTTCACAGTTAGCAAGCATAAACATCACTGAAACTTCTAAGGGACTGGTTCTAAACTATTAACTCCCAAAATAAAGCACAAAACTGGGCAAGCTATTGTAACACAGCTATCTAAGAGTAAAGTACAATACCTATCAGTTTTCCCAAATCACATGCATGAAAATCATGGAATATACCAAGTTACATTCACAAAATTGATATCAGTAGTTTACAGTACTTAGCATTCATTTTAGCCATAACAATATACCTGGGGTTGTGCTGAGAAAGTGTTCCACGTTCTGCTATTTTGACTCCTAGTTTCCCTTATTCCCTACTCTGAACCTTTTACTGACGACTTGGAAGTTGTTAATAAATGCTGGCACACTGCAAACTAGGGCAAGCATAAGCACATAGAAGTCCCTATTTGTGGGATGCTGGGGACTATAGAGAAGGGTAAGATGAAGGGGAAAAAACAAGTAGGAATAAAGATTAATAAGAGAGAAATGCTGAGGACTGTAACAGGAACTACAAC